CTACACCTCCCTCAACTCAACAGTGGCCCTACACCTCCCTCACCTCAACAGTGGCCCTAAACCCCTCCCTCAACTCAACAGTGGCCCCACACCTCCCCCTCACCTCAACAGTGGCCCTACACCCTGTCCCTCACCTCCAACAGTGGCCCTACACCCTCCTCTTCACCTCAACAGTGGCCCCACACCCTGTCCTGTCCCAACAGTGGTCCTACACCCTCCTCACCTCAACAGTGGCCCTACACCCTCCTTCACCTCAACAGGGCCCTACACCTGTCCCTCGTCCCAACAGTGGTCCCACACCCCTCCCTCACCTCAACAGTGGCCCCACACCCTGTCCCTCGTCCCAACAGTGGCCCCTACACCCCTCCCCACTTCAACAGTGGCCCCACACCCTGTCCCTCAACTCAACAGTGGCCCACACCCTCCCCCACCTCAACAGTGGCCCCACACCTCCCCACTTCCAACAGTGGCCCCTACACCCTGTCCCCTCACCTCAACAGTGGCCCTACACCCCTCCCTCACTTCAACAGTGGCCCTACACCCTGTCCTCACCAACAGTGGCCCTACCCTCCTCACTTCAACAGTGGCCCTACTTCCTCCCTCACTTCAACAGTGGCCCTACACTGTCCCTCGTCCCAACAGGGCCCTACACCCTCCTCATCTCAACAGTGGCCCTACACCCCTCCCCTCAACTCAACAGTGGCCCTACACCTCCCCCCTCATCTCAACAGTGGCCCCACTTCTCCCTCACCTCAACAGTGGCCCTACACCCTGTCCTCGTCCCAACAGGGCCCTACACCCTCCCCTCACCTCAACAGTGGCCCCACACCCTGTCCTCGTCCCAACAGTGGCCCCACACCCCTCCCCTCACCTCAACAGTGGCCCTACACCCTGTCCTCAACTCAACAGGCCCCACACCCTGTCCCACCTCACCAGTGGCCCTACTTCCCCCCCTCACCTCAACAGTCTCACACCCCTCCTCAACTCAACAGTGGCCCTACACCCTCCCTCACCTCAACAGTGGCCCCTACTTCTCCCTCACCTCAACAGTGGCCCTACTTCCTCCCTCACCCCAACAGGGCCCTACACCTCCCTCACCTCAACAGGGCCCCTACACCTCCCCTCACCTCAACAGTGGCCCTACACCCTGTCCCCTCCCAACAGGGCCCCTACACCCCTCCCTCACCTCAACAGTGGCCCTACACCCTGTCCCTCAACCAACAGTGGCCCCACACCCCTCCCCCCCTCTCAACAGTGGCCCCACTTCCTCCTCACCTCAACAGTGGCCCTACACCCTCCCCTTAACTCAACAGTGGCCCCACACCCTCCCTCACCCCAACAGTGGCCCTACTTCTCCCTCACCTCAACAGTGGCCCTACCCTCCCTCACCTCAACAGTGGCCCCACACCTCCTCACCTCAACAGTGGCCCCACACCCTCCTCACCTCAACAGTGGCCCCTACACCCTCCCTCATCTCAACAGTGCCCTACACCCTCCCTCACCTCAACAGTGGCCCCACACCCTCCTCACCTCAACAGTGGCCCACTCCTCCCCTCACCCCAACAGTGGCCCCACTTCCTCCCCTCACCCTCAACAGTGGCCCTACACCCCTCCCCTCACCCTCAACAGTGGCCCCACACCCCTCCTCACCCCAACAGTGGCCCCACACCCCTCCCTCACCCCAACAGTGGCCCCACCCTCTCACCCTCAACAGTGGCCCCACACCCTGTCCCTCGTCCCAACAGTGCCCTACACCTCCCCTCACCTCAACAGTGGCCCTACACCCTGTCCCTCAACTCAACAGTGGCCCCACACCTCCCTCATCTCAACAGTGGCCCTACTTCCTCCCTCACCCAACAGTGGCCCCACACCTCCCTCAACTCAACAGTGGCCCTACACCTCCCCTCACCTCAACAGTGGCCCCATTTCCCTCCCTCACCTCAACAGTGGCCCTACTTCCTCCCTCACCCCAAACAGCCCCACACCTCCCTCACCTCCCTCAACAGTGGCCCCACACCCCTGTCCCTCACCTCAACAGTGGCCCTACACCCCTCCCTCATCTCAACAGTGGCCCCACCCTCACCCCCAACAGTGGCCCCACACCCTCCCTCACCTCAACAGTGGCCCCACTTCCTCCTCACCCCAACAGTGGCCCTACATCCTCCCTCACCTCAACAGTGGCCCTACACCCTCCTCACCCTCAACAGGCCCTACACCTCCCTCACCTCAACAGTGGCCCCACACCCTCCCTCACCTCAACAGTGGCCCCACACCTCCTCACCTCAACAGTGGCCCCTACACCCTCCCTCACCTCAACAGTGGCCCTACACCCCTTCCTCCTCACCTCTCAACAGTGGCCCCACACCCTCCTCATCTCAACAGTGGCCCTACACCCCTCCCCCTCCCCTCAACAGTGGCCCCACACCCCTGTCCTCACTCACACAGTGGCCCTACACCTCCCCCACCTCAACAGTGGCCCTACACCTCCTCACCTCAACAGTGGCCCTACACCCTGTCCCTCAACTCAACAGTGGCCCCTACTTCCTCCTCACTAACAGTGGCCCTACACCCTCCCCCTCAACAGTGGCCCCACTCCCTCCCCTCACTTCAACAGTGGCCCTACTTCCTCCCTCACTTCAACAGTGGCCCCACACCCTGTCCCTCGTCCCAACAGGGCCCTCCAACCCTCCTCACCTCAACAGTGCCCTACCCCCTCCCTCACTTCAACAGTGGCCCATTCTCCTCTCTCACTTCAACAGTGGCCCTACACCCCTGTCCCTCGTCCCAACAGTGGCCCCACACCTCCCTCACTTCAACAGGCCCCTACCTCCCCTCACTCAACAGTGGCCCCATTCTCCCCTCACCAACAGTGGCCCCACACCCTCCCCACTTCAACAGTGGCCCTACTCCTCCCTCACTTCAACAGTGGCCCCACACCCCTCCCTCACCCTCAACAGTGGCCCCACACCCTCCCTCACCTCAACAGTGGCCCCACACCCCCTCCCCACCAACAGTGGCCCCACACCTCTCCCTCACCTCAACAGTGGCCCTACACCCCTCCCTCACCCCAACAGTGGCCCTACTCCCTCCCTCACTTCAACAGTGGCCCCTACTCCCTCCCTCACTTCAACAGTGGCCCTCACACCCTGTCCTCGTCCCAACAGTGGCCCTACACCCTCCCTCACTTCCAACAGTGGCCCTACTCCTCCCCCTCTCTCTCCAACAGTGGCCCCACTTCCCTCACTTCAAATAGTGGCCCCACACCTCCCTCACTTCAACAGTGGCCCTACTTCCCTCCCTCACTTCAACAGTGGCCCCACACCCTGTCCTCGTCCCAACAGTGGCCCCACACCCTCCCTCACCTCAACAGTGGTCCCACTTCCTCCCCTCACTTCAACAGTGGCCCCTACACCCTCCCTCACTTCAACAGTGGCCCACCCTCCCCTCACTTCAACAGTGGCCCACTTCCTCCCCTCACTTCAACAGTGGCCCCACACCCTGTCCTCCGTCCCAACAGGGCCCCACACCCTCCCTCACTTCAACAGTGGCCCCACTCTCCCTCACTTCAACAGTGGCCCTACACCCTCCCCCTCACCTCAACAGTGGCCCCACACCCTGCCCCTCACTTCAACAGGGCCCCACACCCCTCCCTCATCCCCAACAGTGGCCTACACCCCTCCCCCCACTCAACAGTGGCCCCACACCCCTCCCTCACTTCAACAGGGCCCCACACCTCCCTCACTTCAACAGTGGCCCCACACCCCCTCCCCCATCCCCAACAGTGGCCCCACACCCTCCCCACTTCCAACAGTGGCCCTACACCCCTCCCTCACTTCAACAGTGGCCCTACCCCCTCCCCACTCCAACAGTGACTTACCTCCTCACTTCCAACAGTGGCCCTACACCCCTCCCTCAACTCAACAGTGTCTCTACACCCCTCCTCAACTCCAACAGTGGCTCCCACACCCTCCCTCACCTCAACAGTGGCTCCACACCTCCCTCACCTCAACAGTGGCCCCACACCCCTCCCCTCACTTCAACAGTGGTCCCACACCCCTCCCTCACCTCAACAGTGGTCTCACACCCTCCCCCCTCTCAACAGTGGCCCTACACCCCTGTCCCCACTTCCAGTGGCCCACACCCCTCCTCCCTCAACAGGCCCCACACCCCTCCCTCACTTCAACAGTGGTCCCACACCCTCCCTCACTTCAACAGTGGCCCACACCCCCTCCTCATCTCAACAGGCCCTACACCCTCCCTCACTTCAACAGTGGTCCCACACCTCCCTCACTTCCAACAGTGGCCCACACCTCCCCTCAACTTCAACAGTGGCTCCCACCCCTCCCTCACTTCAACAGGGCTCCTACACCCCTCCTCACTTCCAACAGTGGTCCTACACCCCTCACTTCAGGCCCCACACCCTCCCCCCCCCCCACTCCAACAGTGGCCCCACTCTCCACTGCCCCCTCACCAACATGGTCCCACACCCGTCCTCGTCCCAACAGTCCCCACACCTCCCCTCACTTCCAACAGTGGCCCTCCCCCTCAAACAGTGGCCCCACACCCGTCCCTCACC